GTGTGTTTGGGGGTGGGGGTGGGGGGGGGTGTATGTGTGGGTGTGTGAGTGTGCAAATGTATTGCAACTTCTATGATGTGTACATGCCAAGCCAGAGATTTTGATGTGTGTTAACACTGTGACAAAATTATGAACTGGAAAGGAAAATGTTGAAGACATTCTTTGTAGCCACAGACTATGACTTTGTATGAGAGCAGTTTCATGTGAGGTATCATGGTGAAATCAGGCACTCGTCAAAATATTGAAACCCAAGAGATCGACATTTTTCCTCCCAATGAGAAATTTTTATCGCCCCCACCCCCACCCCACGCCCTTTTTTGGGGGCTTTACACCTTTTATGTCCATTTGAAACACATTTTTTGTGTGGATTTTATTGAAAAACATTGTTGAAAGACACCTGAGATATTGATCAAAAGCACAAAAAAAGTAAATTTGTTGTTTCCAAGGACACTCAAGCTTTGAAACTCACCAAACATTAGAGGCCATTGTCCCTCCTATTTTCCCTCTGACACCAGACTACCCCCACCTCTTCAATCGCAAATATCTCCACTTCTATTCAAGACAGATGGGTATTTTTTCATCAGAAGCGAAACAGGTGAGTGGCAAAAAGATTATACTAATTATAACTCTATATGCCCAAAAATTTGAGGTGCTCCTGATTTCACTGTGGTGTGAGTAACTACTGTAACTGATGTTCAATGTAATTCTTAATGATATGAGTGGTTTCTTCTAGAATAACAAATACGCAAAAACGTATATATATATATTAGCTTCACAGAGAGAGATACTGTATGTTGATAAAGTTATGGGAATGATGATTGACAGGCAGAGTTATGCTTCAAGTGATGCATGGCATAATGGTACATAATTGTATGTGTGACTAGTTTGACCAAGTGACCACTGAATGATATAATATGATTAAATAAATATTTTTATGTCAGGTATGACTAATTGACACATATAATAAAATGATGTATGACGTAATGATATTTGTGTTTTGTATGAGCAAGTGACACACCAAAAGACGATGCACTGTATTGTATGAATGATGGTAAGTTTGCACTATGAGTATAGATACACTTCACGCCTCTGTGTATGCCTTACGTGACAAAGTTACACACTAAATGACGCGTAGCATGGTTTTGACTGACAAAGTAAAGCACTTAGCAATGCACAATACATCTCCATAGTATCATCATAATGTCTTGTGTGACAAAGTGACCCACTCAAAGACTCTTCCACGCTGCCATAATCAGATTACAAGATGTGTTTACCATGACCATCATCATCCAGTGCCTTGCCAACTGGCATGGGCGATCATGGACCGCCACTTCACTCTATCTTGCGTTGATGTCTGTCGTTCTTGCTGTCCCCTGCCATGTTGTCAACTTGTCCAGTATCTTTTCCCTCTGTCTGCCTCTGCCTCTCTTCCCATCAAACTTGCCTGTTGTTACAATATTCTCCTCTGCTTCTTTCCGCATTGTGTGTCAAATGAAATTTGCTTGTTGCTTTCTTATATTCGTCATAAGCTGTCGTCTGCAATTCACTTCAACCAAGACTTCATCAATTGTTTTTGTAGCTGTCTATGGGGTATGTAGCATGCATCTTCTGAACCACAACTCCCCACAATTTCCAGATGTCTATCGATTGTCCATGCTTCACACCCATATAATAGGATTGGCTCGATTGGCTCGATGTAACTTTTCAGTACTCTTTTTCTTGTTTCTAGTGACAGATTGATGTTTGAAAGTTTCTGTTACCAGAAGTTTGCATAATCTGTTGTAAGCGTCACCCCATAAGCGCCTAAATCGTTAGAAAAACAAAGAAACAAGAGAGTGCTCAAATCCAAACCATGAGTTTGATAAGCAGGGAAAAGCGGAAGAAATTGGGAACTGTATCGTTGTAAAATGTCTTTCGGTGTCTTTCGTATAACGACTTTGTCTAGAAACTCCCAGAAATTCTTCTTCTCGTTAATTTTTTACATTGAATACACATCATAGTCTGCAGTATGAAGGCTGCTGTTCGCTGTAGTTCCTCCAGGCCCCCATAGAGTTTTGTGTCTCTCTGCCTCGGGCCTCCCAGAAATTGATTTGGGTGATTCTGGAATGATGCTGTCAATAATATAATATATGTGAGGCGAGCTGACAAAATGAGTTACTTCTTGCAATCCACAAATTGAGATATTAACCAAAAATCGACACTAAATTTGTAAATTTTCTATTGATTCCATATATTGATTCTTAAAGTACAACATGCCTTATATTATTTCATACTTATAAATTGTAAAAACTTCATCTGCAAGCGTGATGTACCGATTTCCATAAGGCTCGATTCTGAGTATTAACTCATTTTGTCAGCACGCTACATATATATATATATGCATTTGTCAGGTAGGTAGTGGTCATACACAGTTCATTTTTTCATTATAGAACAGTCACACAATTGATCGCTTTTCAGGACAAGGGGGCTAACCCAGATTTCGGGGGTTTCTAGAAATCTTAACCTACACCAAAAGTGGACATTGCCATACCTGTAGGAGAAATTTGACTTCATTGGTGTGTATATTTGTTTGGTTATAACGAAAACTTTCCTTGTATTTTAAAGATACTGAACAAGGGTCCAAAGACTTTACCTTCGATTTTCTCAAAACAGCATTTTTCGGGATATCCCTCTTGGGCTTAAAAGCGACCAATTGTGTTCTATGAGTGTGTCAGCCCTGTTGTGTCGTGTTGTTTGATGGGGGGACGTCTGTTGTTTTCTGCAGAGCTGTAGAGACTTTTTGTACCTGGAGAACTCTCCGCTTTTGATAACGCTTTATTATTTTGCTTACAGTTAATTAATTATGGGTTTGTTTGTGTGTGTGTATCATGTGTGAGTACAGCAAAATGAAATGTTGCTCAAACTATAAAGCTCTGAATAGCTGATGTCATTTTGTTGCGTGCGACTCTTC